TATATATATATATATATATATATATATATATATATATATATATATATTTTTAACATTCCATACACGTTTCAAAGTAGTTAGTTGCTTTTGATTGAATTATATAGCAGATTTTAATTATCTTCTCCTTCCCACTTTTCACTATATTTGAGGTGGTTGTTTTTTTTTTCCTGCAGGCATGTGGGCATGTATTAGAGTCACACAGTTAAGTTTAAATTCTATAGGATGTGATTCTTAGGAGGCCACCGACCAAAGAAACATCTGTGTCTGAATTTTGATAGTTGATTAATACCTTTGCCCTCAATTCCCAGTAGTTACAGGAAAATCTTCTAAAGTAGGTTTTAGGGTTGTATAGACTCCAGCAGGATTAAAAGGGGAGAAAAGCAGTTAACATTTCTCAAGGCCTTACTACATATCAGGCATTATCACAAAGTGATGGCATTAATTCCTGTACTAATCCTATGCAGAAGGTATTCTTGTCCCCAGTTTACAGATGAAGATCTGGAGGCTCAGAAGGTGGTCATTGCATTATGTGGAATCATTGCTGCCTCTCTCCAGAACCCATGTTCTCTTCAGTAACAGTAACAGTAACAGTAACAGTAACCACAATACCAAGCATTGATTTAGTGGTGACTGTACTGTATCAAGCACTGTGCAGAGGTTACCTCATTTTACCAGGTGACACTGCCCTCCTCAGGCCTCCCCTGAGGCATACTCTTCTTACAAAGAGATGAAAGTATTAAATCATGCTTCTCCTCTGAGCATCCTAGGTCTCTCCCTATAAAGTACCACAAATGCCAACTGACCGCCTTCCCTCTCCTCCCCTTTCCATGAAAAAAATTCTGAACTAAGATGCTCTTCTGAACTCGGATTTCTCTGCTGGGTAGAGATTTGACTCACAGACCTTTCCAAAGAAGAGCTTGTCAACCCAGGGAAACCCCAGTAAGCTAGCTGATCTGAGTCCAGGGCCTTCAGTAACTTATTTTTCGCTACAGACTGTTCCAAGATAGCAGCAACTACTGGGGTCCCAAGTACCTGGAATACAGAAACCTGTTGGCTGTCTAAACAGATTGCAGGCCCATCCATGCAGTCAGCTGATACTCTGCTCAGGTTCGACTAAGCTCCTCTGCCTTTGGGACCAGCATCACTGTGTTAAGGTCCTTGAGAGAAAGAACAACCTGAAAGTTTTTCTGAAGAAAGATGAGGGTCTCTTCTCTTGATTTAATTAGAAAATGTATCCATCTCTCTCCAGTTTGTGAGTCCTATGCACATTGGGTAGTGGATTTGTCTTCCCACCAAATGATCAGAGAGGAACACTCCATTTATTTGCATAGATGTGCATTAGATTTGCTCTGGAGGGGAAAAGTGGTAAAATATGTCATGCACCCACACTAAATGTGAGCTGGTATTCCTCAAGTATAGCCCACAGCATGGAACTCAGCACATGGGAGACACTGATATGTAGGTATCAGTATCTGCTGAATGAATGAGTAAAAGGGAAAAAAAGGCTGCTCCTTAGTGTGGGAGGTACCAACCCTGAATCAGTATAGGCCCAGTTGATGGCGTACAGGATAAAAAGGTCCAAGATAGGCTGACTTCTCCACCTTTGAGATACACTCTGCCTTTAAAGGGGTTTTAGAAGCAATATGCAAGAAATTGATAGAAAGCTTGTAAGATCAATATTGATTTCTGTTCAGAACAGCCTCTTTCATGTCTAAAAAGGCACAGAATTCTGCAGACTTAAGAGAGGTGGTTGCATTATACTTTTGCTTCTTTTTAATTGTCTAGTTTTTTAATCACATTTGCTTAACCCAGATTAATGTACACAATTATAATAAATGTTGAAGTATTAGATGTGTCAATGTTGTCAATGTTAAGGTTTCCTTTTTTTAAGTGTAATAACTTGGTGTATTTGCCTGTGTAATTTATTTTCTCCTATTACCTGAAGCCACTCTTTTTTTTTAAAGATTTTTATTTATTTATTTATTTATTTATTTATTTATTTATTTGAGAAAGAGAGAGTGATCAAGAGAGGCAGCACAAGCTGGTGAGGAGGAGGCAGAGGGAGAAGCAAATTCCCCTCTGAGCAGGGAGCCCGATGTGGGGCTCCATCTCAGGACCCAGGGATCATGACCTGAGCTGAAGGCAGTTGCTTAACTGACTGAGCCACTCAGGTGCCCCTAAAGCCATTATTTACAAAAGCAAATAAATACTTTAAGAAGTATCAAATATAGAGAGAAGAAAATAGCAGAATCTAGAAATCATGCATGCAAGGAAGTGTGGGATTCTAGACCAGTCAGGTCTTAATAAAGAATATTTCATTCTTTTGGGTCCATCCTGCTCTTCATTACCATTGCAGACAGATGGCCATCTAGTCTTTATCACACACTTGCAGTGACCAGCTCAGTCCCGTACAAGCCCATTCTGTCTGTGGACAGGTCCAGTTTCAGAAAATGCATTCTTCAGTTGAGTTAGAATCTGTTTCCCTTTAACTATTGCCTACTGGTAATCTATCAGCCCTCTCCTAAATGCCAACCCCTAAATTAGATGATGATGCTTATTGGGTTCTCCCTTCATCAACTCTTCTCCCATTTAAAAACCCCTGGCCCCATCAACTGTTCTTTGACAGTAATTCTAAATATATGTATCTCTCAAACCCCTCTCAAAGGTGTGCCCACAGACACACATCCAAACCCATTTCTCCAGATGTGTACCAATAGTCAAGACTTACATCTTGCTCACTAAGGCCAGTGCTACAGAATCCTGTTGAATTGTCAGTCTCCCTGTCAGTGATCCATGCTTCTGAGTTTTGTATCCAAAAATACAATTTGCATGCTACGTCTTGATCCAGCCCAGAGACAAAAAAAAAAAAAAGTGATCAAGAAGTCAGTCTGGGGGCGCCTGGGTGGCTCAGTCGGTTAAGCATCTGCCTTCAGCTCAGGTCATGATCCCAGGGTCCTGGGATCGAGCCCCACATCAGGCACTCTGCTCAGCAGGGAGCCTGCTTCTCCCTCTCCCTCTTCTGCTCCCCCTGCTTGTGCGCACTCTCTCTCTGTCAAATAAATAAAATCCTTAAAAAAAAAAGTCCAAAAGAAAGTCACATGACAGAGGAATCCTTCCACTACTGAGCAGGGACCTTGGAACCCAATGTTCAATAGCTATTGAAGTAGTGTCCCTGGATCTACTTTCTCACCCCAACCTCAGTCACCATCTTGGGTGTATGAGTACAATTGGGAAAGGAAGAAGAGGTTTTACTATTTCAAAAGATGAGGACTACAGCAGTAGCTCCTAGCCAGATATTTCTAGGACTCTGTTGGTGACGGTATAGACATAAATACCTAAAAGAAAAATACAGTAGTGTTATTTTGAAAAATCACTTAGCATACCAGGTTTCCACCCAGCAGGGATCAACCTGCACTTAGTCTTAGTCTGGAAACCTGGAAACTTAGTACTTAGTCTCCTCCCACATAGATCTACACTTGTGAGGGCCCCCAACCCATTCATCCTCATGTGGTGTCCTCTAAGGATTCTGCTTATGAATGTCTTCCACTTGTGAGTCTCCACGGAATGCATTCCTCTTGTGATGCTTCTTTGCACAATATTGTCTCCCTGTGAAGGTCCCAGGGAGGAAAGCTTTCACTAGGGGAACCAACACTGGTTCCATTGAATAGAAAGTTAGACTACCACCTGGCATTTTGGGGCCCCTCATACCACTGAACCAACAAAGAGGGTTACTGGGTGGTTGATTGCTCCTGATTATCAAGGGGAAGTAGAATTGCTGCTACGCAGTAGGGGTAGGAAGGACCATGTCTGCAACCTAGGAGACTGATTCTCTGAGATTGTCTCTTCGTGTTCCCTTGTCCAATAATAGAAGTTAATGGAAAACTATAGTGACTCGTGCAGGCAGGACCACTAAAGGCTGAGATTGATCGAGAAGGAAGGTTTGTATCTTCCCACCAGGTAAACAACCACAACCACCCGAATGAGGTCATAGGGAACTTGAAATACTGGTGGAAAAAGGAAGATATAAATACTATGACCTCATGACCAGCTGCAGAAATAAGAGCTATAAAAGCTATGCATATTTTGTCTTGCTTTGTTATTATATATTTGAATCTAGTAGCCCAATTTTTCCTTCTCTCATTTATTAATCTTCATTTAAATTGTGTGGATGGTGCTTAATCTTATAATGCAGTCTGTGGATTACAGCATATCAAAGTGTAATTGTGACAGAACTACAAAAGGAACAGACATCCCCCAGATAATGAGAGTGTGTCTAATGGGATTTTTGACACCCCTTCTTGGAGAAGGTGAAGTCACAGTCACCTATATGAAGGATGCTTGCATTTTGCTAATCAGAAGCATAGTGTTGTTATTGATCATTTAGGGGAAAAATATGGATAGAAGAGTATTATGGGTGATGAGTGGTCAAAAATGTGGGCCATGCTGGACTGACTGTTAGCAACTATGCAGCATGCTTTCCTCTTTGTACGTTCTTTCCTCAATATAAGGGAGAATCCTGAGAAATATGCATCCCAGAATCCATCATTAGAGTGTTTCTGGGCTCAGTTCTCCAGGTACTCAAGTACTCTGAGAGATACTTATGCCAGATTTGGAAGGCAGAAGAGAAGAAGCCTTTATTCTCTGGCAGCACCAATGGACACTGTGGGGTGTCAAAAATAGGGTACACATGTTTTTTCTCAGGGGCTTCTGGAAAACTTGCTGAAGATCATCTATGACAGTCCTTTAGGCAGCTGCAATCGTGGGGTTTTTTTCCTTATGTTCCAACGGCAGCCTCCCCGATCTTTGCTGCTTCAGCCTTATATTGATAGTGTAAACCACTGATTTCCTGTTCGCAAGCCTTGCTTCTTGAGAAAGACTGGCACTGCTTTCCTGA